ACCCCACCCCACCCCACCCCACCCCACCCCCGTACATTGAAGCCTAAGTCACGGCAGGCACATAGCCCTGTGTGATACCGTGCATTCTGTTGATTTGGACACCAGTGTAAATATCCCTTCTTGTTAAATTGCTCCTACAAGACAATTGTATATATACATGTAAATAAGTCTCACAGGTCAATTCACACCCTTTTATTTGTACTAGTGCAACTTGCATAGAATGTGGAGTTAAAACAGCAGCAGGGTGCATTGTTTGTAATGTAATCATGTATTTTTTTATTTTTTATTTTTTACCAATGTAGTTTGTGTACATATAGTTTGTCAGTGCTGGTGCTGCCGAGGCCACCATAAAACTGCCCTTCAGCTGTACAACTTCCTGCAGAAAGAGGCAAAGTAAATACAGGTGTTATTTTCTACAGTTGCATGTACAGAGAGAAGTGCAGAGATGCTGTTGTCCCTCAAGAGATAATGTTCATAAATAAATTTTTTTTTTAAAAAAGCCAGTGTGTCCCGTGGGCTTTTTGGTTTTCTCTGCCTCTCAAAGGGTTTCCGAACAGGCTCTCCTCCTCCGTCTTGTTCGTGCAGCTGGGGCTTGTACATTCCCGAGGAAAGTTCCCCTCCACAGGCATTTCAGTTTCAGAGAGGAAACTGAAGGAGCAAAGGCAGACATACCTCAGGTAAGATTTGAACCCAAACCTACCGGGTTTAATGTGTCTCCCATCATATGCCAGTTCCAGACTTTGCTAAGCAAGGCAGATGTTGGCCTTTGTCAGGCTGAAGAGAGGTAGAAAGTTGCCTGCTGGAATGTTGCTGTATCGCGGGGAATCGGGAGGGGTTTCCCAATTAACGCGTTTTATGCAGGGCAGCCCTAACCCTAACCACTCAGCGTAGCTCTCAAAAGCTTCCGCCTTGGCGCCTTTTCCAACTAACACGTTTTATTCAATCAGACGATTCCTGACGCTTGGCTTCCAGAGACTAACGCAGCTTTCTTCCTACTACTAGCAGCAAAAGCTCAGCCTTGGCCTCTCAGTTGGGACAGCGGAAGAGTCGGGCAACCAGGGTTTCCTGTGGGTTCTTGAAGTTCAGTGAAAAAACTCTGCACAAAACATCCTGTCAGAAGGTTTCCCCTTTATTTTGTTTCCAGGCGCATTCTTTAGCAAGGTTATTTTTCCAGACCAAACCTGGGCCTTCAAGTTCTTTTGGCCACTTTTACCGGTCAGTTGCAGGGAAGGGAGGAGAGCCTCAGCCTGAGATCTGAAACGCCTTCTAACTCGGTTGTTTCCCTTCCTTCCATGGAATTGTTCAGCCTAAAGCTTTCAAAGCTTATATACGTTTGCAAGACATGCTCTTCTTAGCTTAGCGCTTATGTGCCCCTTACATCTCTAAATACTGTGCTGAGAAAGGGTGCAAGTTGCCACTCACCTCTTTTTTTAAACACGTTTAATCTGAAAGATCGAGAAGACTGAAACGTGACCCCCAGCAGAGATTATCCTGGGCTTGTGAGAGCGAGGGCTTCTGAGAAGTTTTGTGCAGAAATCAAATGTGGATCCTGTGGCGCAACTTCAGAGGTCCTAAAGCTAAGCACAGAAAAGCAAGCTGAGACTCCCTTCCCCCCCACACACACACACACACTGAGCAAAGTTGGGGGAAGCTGTTGCCCCTTGCCTGGAAGAGCTGCATCTCCAAGATGGCCATCTAAGGATGGGGTCATGCAGTCTGCTTCCTCAGGTCAGTTAAAGGCCACGCGGTGATCTCTCTGCAGCCTGCAAAGCTTGGCTGGTTTGAACAGCGACTTCCTTTGTGGCTTGGGGAGTTGTGCTGACACACTGCTCTCCACGGATAAGCAGCGTCACACCCCAGCCAGGAAGGGTCCAGATGCAAAGGAAGGGGAGTTGAAGTGGCATGTTGGCATGAGGTCACGTGATAAAATTCACACCAGAAGGGAGCAACGCAGGGCTCCAGTAGATAAAATCCGCCCCCCCCCCCCTCCACGCC